TGGGTACTGAAGTGAAGCTGATTGGTCTGTAATTCCCTGGGTTGTCCTTATTTCCCTTTTTATAGATTGGTACCATATTTGCCCTTTTCCAGTCCTCTAGAATCTCTCCCATCTTTCATGACTTTTCAAAGACAATTGCTCATGGCTCTGATATCTCTTCAGTCAGCTCCTTGAGTATTCTAGGATGTATTTCTGTGGGGAAGACAACATGTGAGAGAAAAGGTCACGACCTTCTAACCAGATGTGAAGGCTAAAAAGATTTTGGGCTACAGCTGCTACCTGATTTTCCAAAATGAGCTGAGTATTCAACAGAACCCCCAAATAAACACTTTTCTTTCAGAAAACAAAAGCAATTCTTCTCCACCAATGGGACAGATTTAACTGTTTTCTCTTAATATTTATCCCAGCATCACTTCTGTCTTCTCTGAGCTGAGCCTTAGCCAGCTTGGCCACATCCAGACCCCAGTCTCAGCTAGGCACTGAGACAAACAAGAGACCTACTGGTCTGATTAAAAAGAAATGTTATGATGAGTTCCAGACACATACTGATGGTGTCATCATCCAAACTATTTCACAGTCTCTTTTCGTGGCCTCACGCTGGACAGAAGGAGTGACAGGATGGAGCCTGGTGGTGGCCCACAGATAGCTTCTGCAGAGCAGAGGCAACCAACACAAACCTGTGCTATCTTAGAGACAAAAGAATGGAGTCACACTCCACTCGGGACCCACAGATCTTGTGATCCATGATATCAAAGGCAGCTGAGAGAATGAAGAAAATCAGTCTGGATGGACACTTGCATGCCAGTTGAGTTCAGTGGAGCCAGAATGTCACCTTTGATCTTTGTTCATTACCAGGAACGGGTTATCAGCCAAGTAGACCAGAGTTGTCTGTACCAAAAGCCAGCCAGCTGTTCAGAAAAACTGAGAATTCCAGATAATGCCACAGTTATTTTCCCACGTATTGAAGTGCAGAACTGAGAGTCAGTGGATATGAGTTGTATTCCTGGTTTTGTCACTGACTCACTGTGTGGTCTTGGGCAAGTCCTTAAACCTCCTTATACCTCATTTTCCACATCTGTAAAACAGGGATAATACTCCCCTACATTCTATTTTCTACAGGTTCTGCTACCACATTCATCACTGCAGTCTCTGAGCGTCTTCCAGTAACATGATAAACATCTGTCATATATATGTTGTTCTCTCATATACACGTTGCTATGTGTTTATGTTAGAGGAGGTAAGATCAAATGCACCTTAACACCTGAAGCAGAATTTGGTGAGATTTGCTGTCATAGTTCCTAGGACAGTTAATTCTGCAGTCTTGGGAAATCCCCCCCAAAATCTCTGCCTCTTGCAACACAGCAGGGTGTGTGGGAATAAATGCATTAACGCATGAGAGGTGCTCAGGTCCTGTGTTGATGGGGTCCACACAAATGCCTATGAATTCAGCACCTAGCACAATGGGGTCCGATAGCATATCTGAGACAACGAGGTGCTATGGAACCAGCATAATAATAATGAATCCTCATTATGATTTATCATTAATCTTCCCCAAAAATAGGATGGTGAGAGAGATGGTAGTAACTGATGCAATGATGAGCTTCAAGAGCAGGGGCCTAACTATCGCTTTTTAAGAATCCTACAAATACTAGAGATGGAGTGAGAGAGAGAAAGAGAGAGACAGAGAGTTACTGTCATTCTGCCCTCCCTCCCCCAGTGGGGCATTGACAGTTTCTATCAGTAATGTACACAGCATCTCCCTGTTACATTTTCCTAACTACACAGGAACTGCACATGAAAACTATGGTACAGTACAGTAGGTGTTGGTTACATATTTTCAGCAGTTAACCTTGCTATTCAAGTATATCTCTAATGGACACTGCCTGTTTGCTCTAGCTCAGCCATGGAACTGAGTCACTCAGAACACAGGGACAATTTAGGGAACACTCCAGGAAATGTTCAACAGTGTCATGAACTCCTCAGGCACAGACTGTATTGTAGATCAGCCGCGGCAACAGATCACTCAGACCCACGTGGGGATGTTGGGAAAGGTGTTTCTCTAAGCATGGTTCTGGAATATTTCCCTCTGGTAGCACAGCGACCAGGAATCAGTGACCAGTGACCGTGCTGACATCAGGGACAAGGAACTGGGGTTTTTCCTGGATATTGTTCCCATACCCATTGTCATCCTCCATGATCCGCAGAGAAGAGTGTCAAAGGAAACAAGGCTGTGCCTGAAAAAACAAACCACAGGTTTCAAGTAAATTCTTTCACTTCTCCCACCCATGAGTATCCTTCTGTCACACAAAGAAACCTCCCTAGAGGCTGCTGGAGTATCCCTGTCCCAATTATAGATGACAGAGTCTCTGCCCAGTTGCCTAGGCCAACTGACAAGTGCCCTCTGCAGGTTGCTCTCTACACAAATGCCCTCCATGGTGCCTCCTTTCTGTGTGTTCTAGGGGTGGGGGAGAATTTCAAGGGCAGTTCTGGGCCTACACTGCCTTACCATGCAGGGAGCAATGCCAGTATTGTGGCAAAGGATATATGATTCCCCTGCACTAAATATTGCCCATCTCCCTTCCATTTCTGCCACACCTCTGGGTGCCTGTGGTAACTCCAAGTTGTCACTGCGAGCTGAAAGGGCTGTTTCAAGTCGTGAGCAACAAGCACATGTATTTCCAAAATTACTACATTTTATAGTCTAGAGAAACGAGAAATGGAGGGGCCACATCTTAATAACTGTCTCTCTTGATGCCCATTCAGGGATGCGACTCCCACTGTGTTCGTCACATGGATTCTTAATGACACAAAGACTTCAGAGTGTTTAACCGCGGAATCAGTTTTTGATAGGAATACTGCTGGAATTCCTTGTGTGAGCTTAGAACTGACGTTTTGCTCTAGAAAGGGAGAAGGGTTAAAAGAAGAGGCTCCTGGCTCAGCCCAGAAAAAGAATTTCTTCACATTCCTTAACGGGGGGGGGGGGGAGATATTCCCTTCCAGCAGAAATAGCCTAGGAGTTTCTTGGATTAGCCTGAACACTTCATTTAATAAAACAAGCAATTAAAATATCAACAGAGAAGCTATTATTCTCCAAGCCCCATGTATATCAAATAACTTTTATGTAGTTTTTCAAATATAGTAAAGGTGCAGCCAAATTTGTAACAACCTAATGTTATCAGAATACAGTAAAATAGTTTTATTAAGAACAATTTTGCATCAGTGCTGAGGTCCATCCCCCACATCACTCAGAGCCTAATGTCAGCAAAGAGCTGAATAATCAGTCGCTGGCTGGTGCTACTTGTTTCTGTAATCTCCTAAATTTCTGTCATCACGAATAGAAACTGAAAGGGAGAAAAGCACCCTACTAAAAGAAGGTAGCACTGGATGCTGTAGTTAGGGAAAACCATGGCTTCTGGCTGGAAGGGAGGTAAAGATTCAGCATTAGTGCAAGTGTGTGTGTGCACATTTGAAATATATACATATAAGTGTGCATTTATGTGTCTTCATGGCTATATGAATTGATGAGTGTACACATGTATGTGCATCTGTATGACTGTTGTGAATCTATGTATGTAAGATATGTCTATTTGGTAGATAAATCCAGTCTATCGCTCTGTGTGTGTTCATACATCTACAGTGTTTTTAGTTACTATCTTTTCAGTAAAGACAAACAAAATCACTGACAGTAAATGATTTTCTTACATCAGTACTAAACAAGTACAATTTACAAAGAAAAAGGTGAGAGAATACAGCAGAGCTGAGGCAGTCTAGGTTACAAGTTATAGTAGATAGACATATTGGTTTTATGAAAGTTAAAGCAACAATTATTTAACTTAGTACATCCCATTGGGCCCATCTTTCCTCAGACAGTTCCGATTTTTGTGTGTGTCTATGCGTATAGGTTTGTGCCTGTCTGTCTGGGCTTAAAAAATTTGCACCCGTGTAACTAAGTAGGTATATTGGTGCAAAAACCCCACTCCTGTGTCTGGAAGTCCTTTGAAGTCAAGTGAAGTATTTTCACTGATTTCAATTGTAGCCCATAGGGCCAGCCTGCTGACTTGTTTTATTATTATTCTGCCTTTATTTGCTGGTATGCTTGTTTGATTTATTGTATTTTGTATTAGATTACTTTATGTTTGGCTGTAATGCAAGGAACCTACAGGCCTGTGTCCTGTATGATTAGCTTAAGCAAGTTAGCATAGTATTGTTAAGTCGGCTATCTTTGGCATAGATAAATGGCCTAACAATCACCCTCTTAGATTTTCGGGGAACTAGACATGTTTACCTAAGAAAGTTGGACCTTGACAGTGGCCATCTCACTTCCACTGATTTCCATTGGAGTGAGATGCCTGAATACCTTTGAGGATCTGGGCCTGACTGTATCTTGGGTAATAAAGAGGATTTGATGCTTCACTAGAGGCTTAACATGCAAAGTTAAACAGATCACCAGAAATGGGGTTCAGAAAGATTTCCCCTTCCCTAAGCAGTATAACAGGTGGCATGTCAGAGTTACATCCTATTCAGCAACATTGAACGTGGGTCATCTGTTAGGACCAGGTGGTTATGAGACTCATGCAATTGATTTCTGTGAACACAAAAAAGCAGAGTTGCAGGATTTTGGTTATTCCTGTCTTCCTCTGTATTTCCGCTGCCAGAAGATAGATGATTTATAATTATCTTTTCTAATAGGTCACTTGACTGACTATACCACTGAGAGGTGAGAATGACCATTCTATATCCCCAAACCTGACCACTTCCATCAAGGGTTCCGGAAAGGGGGATGGAGAACTCCAGATAGTCTTTCTCATTCACTTTTATTCCAAATCTCCTCTCTCTCTCTCTCTCTCTCTCTCCCTCTCTCTCTCTCATTGTCCCCCTGTCTATGTCTCTGTGGGTCTATGTGTCTCTCTTTGGCCCCAGGATTTAGCTATGTGGAACAGGGCTAGTGAAAGTGCCATCAGTGGACATTACATTTTCACAGTGACTTGATCTTGTTTCAGGTGGAAGATACAACCAAAGCAGTTCAAGGACATTTATGACCCGAGTGTACTTCCCAGAGTGACTTATCTGCTCTATGAAATTAAATGGGGCAACAGCACCAAGATTTGGAGAAACTGGTGCCGAAACAACAGCACCCAGCATGCTGAAATCAACTTCCTGGAAAATTCCTTCAAGGAAAGATCTCTCAATCCTTTGACCCATTGCTCCATCACCTGGTTCCTCTCCTGGAGTCCTTGCTGGAAATTCTCCCAATCTGTGGTACAGTTCCTGAAGACATACCCCAAAGTGAACCTAGAAATGTATGTAGCGCGGCTCTTTAGGCATAAAGACAGACGCAACCAACTAGGCCTGCGTGACCTGGTGATGAATGGAGTCACCCTTAGAGTCATGGACCTCTCAGGTAATTATTCATTTGATTTCAAAGAAGGTGGAAGAATCAACAGGTTTGGAGGACTGAGCTATGGAGCTTTTCATTTCTATGTCATTGATTTTAGCAGGGACACTGGTATGTAGTGACCAAAAGTCATTTTCATCACAGACACCAGCCCTCCATTGAACATTAATTGTCTCCTTTGTCAGGCTCAGCTGAGATGGCAAGGGCTCACTGCAACATGGAGATTGAACTTCTTTCACTATTATTCGTGGTCTCCTGGTAAACCACACTAATGGGGAGGGCATGAGAGGCTCACTTACACACTCACTGTGGCCCGTCCTGTTCCTGTTCTGAGGATAAATTGCAAATTTCATTCTCAGGTGCCATCAATTCAGCATCTTTTATCAATATCAACATTTATCTCAGCTCTAAACTGTAGCTTTCCAATAGTCTGACAAAGTATATTCACCTGCATAACCCCGCAGCGCACTTGTCCAATTTTTTAGAATATGAACATTGAACAGATGTGCCCGGTTTGTTAGCCACATGGTGTATGTGCTGTAAAGTTGCTGACTCTGTAATATGGTAGCACTCTGTTCAATAAAGAGATCTGGTGATTCCAATACTGTATAACATTTCTCTAAACAAAAGCTCACTGTTACAATGCATATTATTTTGTCTCTGATATTTACATGGCAAGGATTTGTAAACCTGTTAAAACTTCCTCAGTAAATAAAAAGGAAAAAAAAATGCTCTGTCTTAATAGCAGTTACATAACAACTTAATCTTTCTTGAACCATACTGATCTCTCATAGTTGCACAAACAGCCTCTTGACGTATCTTTTAATTTACGTGACTGGATATTTCTATTTCCTCAGCTTACAACTATTGTTGGAGAACATTTGTCAGCCATCAAAATGGAGAAGACTACTTGCCTTGACACCTCACCCCATGGATAATGTTCTTTTTTTTTTTAACTCCAGCTTATCCTTCAGGTTAGTAGATCTTTGGGAGGAAAATTTGATCCAGAAGTTATCCAGAGTCATGTACAGATGAGGTATCCAGAGTGCACCACTGTGATATTTCATGGATCTCCTCTGAAGCCCTTGAAATCTTTCCTGGTTCTGAATGGCCAAGTTCCATGGCTGAGCTACATCAGTCAGGTTTCAGAGTAGCAGCCGTGTTAGTCTGTATTCACAAAAAGAAAAGAAGTACGAGTGGAACCTTAGAGACTAACCAATTTATTTGAGCATAAGCATCCGATGAAGTGAGCTGTAGCTCACGAAAGCTTATGCTCAAATAAATTGGTTAGTCTCTAAGGTGCCATGAGTACCCCTTTTCTTTCTACATCAGTCAGTGACTGATGAGTTCATAGGGCTATTAATATTCCATGGGTCTCCCCTGAATTCTCCCTGGTTCTGAGTGACACGGTTCCATGGCTGGGCTATAACTTGTGGGCAGTGCCAGATGTGTTTATGGTTCCTTTGGACATGCTGGGTCTGCGTTACATGTGAAATGCTCATGGACCTGACATACGTTTGTTGAAATGTTGCAGGTGTTTGTATGTTTATAAAGAAATTTCCTATTGTGGACCCTACCCATTAAATATCTGAGTGATTCTAAAGTCATTATGTTTAGTTGTTAACCTCCAAATATTTTTTAAATTCATATTTCACCTCTCCCACCAGGGCTCCGCAGCCAGTTTACAGATCTGACCGGCAAGTAGCAATCAGATTCTGAGTTTCAGTCTTATTCAACCAGAATATTGTAATCTAATGCCTCTGCAAAGGGTTGGCACAGAAGCTAGTCATGTGAAGTCATCACATTACTGGCCTGAATCAACAGCCAATCACCAGCAACTGCTAGTGTTTGGGCCTGGACTATCCGCCAGTCACCAGCAACAGCCAATATTTAGGCCTGGACCAGCAGTCAGTAATCATCAGCCATTAGTGTTTGGACCTGGATCAGTAGCCAATCATCTGCAACAGCCAATATTTAGGCCTGGACCAGCAGTCAGTCATCATCAGTCACTAGTGTTTGGACCTGGACCAGTAGCCAATCACCTGCAACAGCCAATGTTTAGGCCTGGACCAGCAGTCACTCATCATCAGCCACTAGTGTTTGGGCCAGGACTATCGACTAGTTGCCATCTGCAACCTGTGTTTAGGCCAGAACTACCAGCCAATCAGCGACAGCAACAGGATTCAGGCCTAGACCATTAGCCAATCAACAGCAACAACAAAGTAACAGGTTCTGGAATAGATCCCCTTGGATCTCCATAGGAAATAAACTTCTGGGAGTCCCCTCATAGTTTGCACTTACGTAAACAAGGGGGAACACATTTTAACATACTTCAGGCAATACCCTTGTTATGAATAACCCTAAACATTTATTGCTCCTATGAACAGTTTTGTGAGGAAATAATTGGTGATACTGTGACGCTCTGTACCTCGGGGGAACACTCTACACCCCCATGTTCATCTTTATAAAATGATTGTGCGGTATCCAATGCAAGTTTGTCATGTTGGGTGTCTTTGGAAGGCTCATAATGCACTGAGCATGGTTGTTATAGTGATGTTATAGTAATTGTTACAGTAATGTTACAGTAAGTTTATAGGTTATAATTTCATGTATATAGTTATGAGGATGAAAATGTATCCTCATGGCTTAAAGCAAGCCCATGCAAAAACTCTCCAAGAACAGAGAGGCAGTTCACACCTCGTCAGGGCATGGTTGGGACAAACCCAGCCCAGCCTCACAGGAACAATGGACACTGGCTTAGGCAACAACAAAAGAATCTGTTAGACCCTCGAGGGAGTCACCCCCATCCTTTGGTCACTTTGGAACTGTGATGAGGTAATGCTCACCTGACTCTGAAGGAGGGAAGTGGGGTGGCAAAGCCAAGAGGAAAGAAGGGACGTAATAAAAGGGAGAGACATTTTGCCATGCTCTCTCTCTTCCACCTACATCTACAGACACCACCACCACCAAGCGATTGAAACACTGATCAAAGGGGAGAGCGTGACTGAAAAGTAACCAGCCAGCCTGTGATGAGAAGCATTTAAGTTTTTAAGGGCATTGAAAGTGTTAAGATCAGTTTACAATGTGTTTTGCTTTTATTTCATTTGACCAAATCTGACTTGTAATGCTTTGACTTATAATCACTTAAAATCTATCTTTATAGCTAATAAATCTGTTTGTTTATTCTACCTGAAGCAGTGTGTTCAGTCTGAAGTGTGTCAGAGGCTCCCCTTGGAAGAACAAGCCTGGTACATATCAATTTCTTTGTTAAATTGACAAACTTATATAAGCTTCCAGTGTCCAGCAGGCATAATTGGACACTGCAAGCCAGAGGTTCCCAGGGTTGCATCTGGAACTGGAGATATTGGCTAGTGTCATTCGGTTGCAAGAAGCTGGGAGCAGCTTACATGCCAGAGGCTGCGTGTGAACAGCCCAGGAGTGGGGGTTCTCACAGCAGAGCAGGGAAAGGCTGGCTCCCAGAGTCAAGGATTGGGGTGACCTAGCAGATCACTGATCCAGACAACACCAAAGAGGAATGTCACTGATGCATATTGATATTCCAAGGCCTGGAAGATTCTTTACTCTTCCAAACTTATTTCTTAGTGTTATTTTTCAGTTGGGGTGTCCTAGATTTTATTGTCCATTTTATTTGTAAAGTTACCTTTTGAATAAAATAAATCAAACATTTATTTTAATGAGCTGCTGCTCTTGTTGTCTAATTTTGCTGTTATTTTTAAGAGTGTGCATTTTTCTGAGCCCTCATAATGACCCTGGCAGTGATAACTAGCTAATGACCTAATGTGTGACAAAAGTATCATATGAGTGGAATTGAAACTATAGATAGAGACCCAGTACTTGGATTTTTTTAAAACATATTGATTGATTATTAGTACATTTTTTAATTTTTATTTGTACAGCGCTAACGTTGTGCAAGGTGCATGCATGTGTGAAGGTACTGGGCCAAATTTTTCTCTCTGAGCCTGACCCAAAGCACACTGAACTCAGTGGAAGCCCTTCCACTGATTTTCAGTGGGCTTTGGATCAGGCTCTCTGCTACACCAGTGTCAAACAGTTGAAATCAGGGGATTTAAACCAGTGCAATCAAGAGCAGGATTTGGCCCAAAGTCCCTACTCTGAAGAGTTTACAGTCTAGATACAATCTATGGGCCAGGCCCCAAGACATGCTGAGCACCTCTAGCTCTCATTGACTCCAGCACAGGTGTTCAGTACCACTTAGAATTGCAAGCCCAGCAGATGGAACTCCACTAACTGAATTTGGTCCAACAAGCCTCTTGTTACAAGAGGTAATTCACCCTAGTCGAGAGGGCAAGATCTATGCCCCACTGCAGTCCCACTTAAGCACTCAAAACAGATCTTAAGGGAGTCTTACATGGTGTTTAGGCTTCTGCTCAGGGATGAATTTCATTCACACTCAGTTAAGGTTAGAATAGAAAATCCAAGAGAGAAGTAATGGGTCAGATCTAATCTCAGTTATAGCAACCTAAGTCTGGAGTAACTCCTGTGAAGTCAAGGGAGTTATTCTGGAGCCTCCCAGGTGTTACTGAGAACATAATCTGTTTCCGTGGATCCATTCTTTCCATATCTGCATGTCTACCAATGTGATATATGCCATCATGTGCCAGCAATGCTCATCTGCCATGTACATTGGCCAAACCGGACAGTCTCTACACAAAAGAATAAATGGACACCAATCTGACATCAAGAATTATAACATTCAAAAACCAGTAGGAGAACACTTCCGTCTCCCTGGACACTCAATAACAGACTTAAAAGTGGCAATTCTTCAACAAAAAAAAAAACCTTCAAAAACAGACTCCAACAAGAAACTGCAGAACTGGAATTAATTTGCAAACTGGACACCATCAAATTAGGCCTGAATAAAGACTGGAAGTGGATGGGTCACTACAAAAACTAATTTTCCCCTGCTGATACTCACACCTTCTTGTCAACTGTTTGAAATGGGCCACCTTGTTTACATTGGCTTCATTAGCACTACAAAAGAGATTTCCACCCCTTCTTGTCAACTGTTGAGAATAGCCCACTTCCACCTTAACTGAATTGGCTCATTAGCACTGACCCCCCACTTGGTAAGGCAACTCCCATCTTTTCAGATGCTGTGTATTTATACCTCCTACTGTATGTTCCACTCCATGCATTTGATGAAGTGGGTTTTAGCCCACGAAAGCTAATGCCCAAATAAATTTGTTAGTCTCTAAGGTGCCACAAAGACACCTTGTTGTTTTTCCATACACTGACACCTAGTGGACTACACAGAGAGAGTTTAATTCCTTTCTAGAGGACTGATTAAATATTGGCACTGTGCTGCCCAGGGACCCTCAGCCCCATGGAACAACATTTAGGGACTATAAATCCTGATCAAGTATGCATTAATACTTCTATATCATGCCCAGATCTACCTTCCCTCAACCTAGACTCTGGATAACTTCTGGATCAAATTTTCTCCCCAAAGATCTACTAACCTGAAGGATAAGCTCTGTTATAGTCTCTGTTGGACCAGCCTCTCCCATCCCTCTGAAGGTACCTTTGTCCTCCTCCCACTCCCAGTTCCTCTCCACTGTTGTAACTGCAAAGTTAGGTAAGTTGCTAAGGGCTCTGTCTTCTACCTCCAAAAGAAACCCTTCCTAAGGGCTTCTACACCCTATGGCTTGTGAATCAATTGCATGTGCTTTGTCCTTGCAGGTAACCTATCATCTCAGGAAGAATAAAACACTGAGGGTGCATCTACATTGTAAAGAAAAACCTGCCACTGACCCATGTCAGCTGACTTCGGCTGCGGGACTGTTTCATTGCAGCATAGATTTCTGGGCTTGGGCTCCAGCCTGAGCTCTGGGACCCTCCCATCTTGCAGGGTCCTAGAGACCAGACCCGAGCCTGAGCCTGGAGATCTACACTGCAATTAAACATCCCCTTAGCCTGAGCCCCACAAGCCCAAGTCAGCTGGCACAGGCCAGCTGTGGGTGTCTAATTGCAGAATAGACACACCCTAAAAAAACTGGTTCTTCAGAGTAGCAGCCGTGTTAGTCTGTATCCGCAAAAAGAACAAGAGTGCTTATGGCACCTTAGAGACTAATAAATTTATTTGAGCATAAGCTTTCGTGGGCTACAGCTCACTTCATCGGATGCAAGCAGTGGAAAATACAGTAGGATGATTTTATATACACAGAGAACATGAAACAATAAACTGTCATTATAGTGTGCATTGTAACACCCATTGTTTCATGTTCTCTGTGTACATAAAATCATCCTACCGTATTTTCCACTGCATGCATCCAATGAAGTGGGCTGTAGCCCACGAAAGCTTATGCTCAAATAAATTTGTTAGTCTAGAAGGTGCCACAAGTCATCCTTTTCTTTTTTCCTAAAAAAACCTTGCTCTCAAATACATACAGGTGGAGTGAATTCCCCTGTTATTTTTTAATACTGTGAGCCAAACTTGGCCCTGACGTGAGTGCATGGAACTCCCACTGATCTCAGAAGGAGTATACATATTTATGCTAGGGCTGAACAGGTTTTTCATTCATTCATAGTATATCACGGTACGCAATGGTTTAATGAAAGTGGAGACCTCCTAAAACTCCCACTTGGTGAACCATAGAGACGAGATCAGCAAATCCATCTCTCTGTTAAACCACCCAACAAATCGTTTCATAATCCTCTTGTCTTCCATGCTGCTAAGTGGTGTTTTGATCTGGGAAGAAGCTTCTGGCTAATATGTTAATTACCAGCAATCCCGAGGTCTTTGTCATTAAATACGGAATGCTACAGGCCATGTCATCCCTTCTAATTTTAGCCATGGAGAGGACGTAGTGAGGAGAAAACCCAAGTCAGAAGGCCTGATAGACCTCAATGGGAGCAGAAGCAGGCCCTGTTACCACTTTCTTCCCACCTCTCAGGGTCCTTCCTGCATAAATTAGGGCCTGATCCCAATGGAGTGCTGAGTGCCCTCCACTGCACTAACTACAGTAGAGCTGAGGGTGCTAACACTGCACCTTTCAGGAGGTACTCAGTACATATCAGGAGCGGACTCTGAATGCTAATGTAAATCACGGGAATTTCTACACCATTCCTTCTCCAACAATCCTCCCGATGAGGCTTGAACCTAAGAATGGAAGGGAAGCCAGTGAAGTACTGCAGAGAGGTTATCCCTCTTC